GAGAGAGAGAGAGAGAGAGAGAGAGAGAGAGAGAGAGAGAGAGAGAGAGAGAGAGAGAGAGAGAGAGAGAGCACTTACAGTGCTGCCAGTCTGAAGACTCTGACGTTATATGAAGTTATGAACTTAAATTTTACTTAATTCAAATTTCAAACTTCAAAGTTAATCATTTTTTTTTATATATTTTTTTCTCTGTTCCTTTAGTCTTGTGCCTGCTTTGCACTGTTTGCAACTCTGCATGTCGGCGTCTACTTGAATGTGCTGCATGTTGATTTGCTGCAAGACAGGTGCTCTGCTGCGTGAACTACGAAGCGCAAAGCAGGTAGTGCTTGCCAACAGCCCCCCTTCACACCTATCCCCTCCCCGTTCCCCTCCCCACACACACACACACATTTTGCACCCCCTGACACCAGTCCGGATTGTCCGGGTGTCCGGTGATGTCCGGATCACCGGACAGTCCGGACCGGTCCAAACACTGGTCCGGAAGACAGTCCGGGAGTGTCCGGTGTCCGGGTCCGCGGTTACCATGAACTGAACTATAGACAAAAAGCGAGCCGACGCACTAGAACGAAATGGAACTAAATGGAACAATGGAACTAAATGGAACTAAAGGACAAGCATAAATGGAAGTAAACCTAAAAGGAGGTAAAGGAGTGAGAAATTTGAAAACAAAAACAAAAGTGAAACAGAAGTAACCGGGGAAAACTCATTTGTCCGCATGGCAGGATAACGAGACGAGCAAACTGAATATTAGTAGTCAATTATAAATTATATACAGTGGTATGTACAGTCCCTTTGTATATATACAGCTCCTTTTTATCTGAATACAGCTGAATACACAAATACCAAACAGTGTATATAACACACAAGTATTTCAAGGAGAATAAATGAGACGGGCACACACACACACACACACACACACACACACACACACACACACACACAGAGCATGGATGCACAAACCGAGTCCTAACGTTGAAGTTGAGATGCGCACACAAATACTGAGGCATAAAAGTGGAGAAGGAGAAAGAGAGAAGGATTACGTAATTGTAATGATTTACAGACACCGAAGTGTATAGTAGTGTATACGCAGATGGAGGACTGAGAGATTGTAGTGATTTCCAGGGAACAGAAGAATGTAGACTCACCTTAGGTGCAAATGCGGACGGAGATTTGAACTTCTAAAGTGCGTATGGGGAATGAGATGGATCAAGATATATGCACAAGCTGTCAGAGAGATAGAGGACGAGGAGAAGGGGAGGAATGGAGAGAATGCGGACAGAAGGGGTGAAATAGGAGAATAACCACACAGGTGTACAAGCCCACAAATGGATATAGTGCACACACACACACACACACACACACACACACACACACACACACACACACACACAGAGAGAGAGAGAGAGAGAGAGAGAGAGAGAGAGAGAGAG